TCTCGGACAAGCCAGGCGAGCTTCCACAGGCTTGAGTCGGTGTGATACTGTTAGAAGGAGCCCTGACCACTAGTATGCGAAAAAAGCGGTAAGTATAGGGTTTCGACTCTCACTCTCGCACAGCCAGGCAGGGCTCCTCAGGCTCCTCATAAATCCGTCACGCCAGAGAACGGTTTAGGATTTTCCGTCGGCCGTCTCGTTTATATGGGAAAACCAATAGCCAATAATCACGCTATGAGTTATATATATACATATATATATGATACAAATACACATGTATACATACACACCTGGGAAAAGCAGTTGCCTGCCTCGTTTAAAATGCAAGCATGCTGTCATGCAGGCCGTAAGCAACCAGCACCGAGACTTGATAGGGCCATCGCACATTAACAGACATGATAGTATCACATAGTCTCTCTATGGCTACCATCCCCCTACATGCGAGACAGTCGTCGAAATTGCTCGGAAAATGCGCACTGATCATGGCTGACTGACTCTGCAAACACCGATAGTATCAATCACCAACACACTCTGCTGGCAAAACGTACAAATCGCATAGTGAAACTTACCCTTGCCATCCTTTGCATTCACGGAGAGCAACAATCAAGCCAAGAATCCTGCACACTTTGCTACTTTGGCGAAGAAGGCGCGATAAAAATCTCAAACCCTGAAGGCACAATCCACGTGAGTCCTTAGGGTTTAGGGGTTTATGGTTTAGGGTCCCTAAACCCGGCTGGATTCTGAGACCCTGCTACAGCCTTTGAGCACTTTTGAGCCTTATATCCACCCCCCAACTCCGACGGGAGTCGCACTGACATGGCGGGAAAGCGCACCAAATGTCTCAGAGGCCTGGTTCCAGTGTAACATGTAGGATTTCTTTGTACAGTTTTAGGGTGTAGGGTTTAGGGNNGGTTTGGGGTTTAGGGTTTCTTAAAATGGTAGGGGGTTCAGGGTGTCGGGTTTTGGGCAACAGCGATTCCGGAGCTAGGATTTGGATTTCTGCTGCAGGGTTTTCGGCTCAAACCGTGCGTGACCTTGAGGTAGCTTCAGGAATATCATATCTACTAGCACCCGCACGCTATGTTAACTCAGCCAAAAAACGAAACCCTGAAAAGACACCTCAAACCCTCCAAACCCTGAAAGACAACACACAAACCCGAGCCCTGCACCCTGACATGGAAACCCTCAACCCCAGAATCCTAACACTCTCCAAGGACAGCCCTCCCCAAAAATACAACAACATATGGATGGATCCTTGCATAACCTATATCAAACTGCTACAGCAACCACAAAGTGTAAGCGACACTGTGCGAAAGTGCAAGCCCTATAACACCTAAACCCTAAACAGCAGCAAGGCCTCAAAAAACCCTCAACCCCACGGATGCCCGCAGAAGACCTGATGGCATCTTGCCAACTCGGAACCTTGGTCAGGCGCAACTTTCTGTAAGGGTTTGAGGGCTTTAGGGCTTTAAGGTTTAGATTTAGGTTACTTACTCAGCCGCTAAGTAGAGGGTGCAGGCTTCAGGGCTAGAGCGTTCACGGGAAATGGTCGAGGGTTTGGCGTTTGTAGATGTTCGGGTTTGGGGTTTTTCGGGCTTCACAGGTCCAGGGTTTTTTCCCGACGTCTTGGCCGAGATTTTTTGGGGACTTCGACTCCAAGGTTCAATGCTTTTGGGATTGAAGTTGCAAGAGATCGGCACGAGGAGCTCAATTGCGGAGAAGTTTAGCTCATAATGGGCTTAGGCTCCGTTCTTTTGGATGGGCTTGACGTCGCTAATCTGGCATTAGCCCTAAGCTTCCATGGACCTCATTATTGGATCCTTAGGGGGTCTAGGGCCCTAGCTATAAGGT